GCACACATGGTGCACAGATATACATGCAGACAAAGCACCCCCAATAGAGAAAACAAACAGAATCTCACTGGTGTAGCAATAAGAGCAGCAGGCTACATTCCTGGCACCCGGCCACCCGCACGGCTAGCTTTATACCCGAAATAATTACACGGAAGCTGTATTCTTTTAAACACTGCCTGGCCCTTTAGTTTTAACCTCTTATTGGCTAGCTCTTATATATTGATCTAACCCATTTCTAATAATCTGTGTAGCTCACGAGGTGGCTTACCAGGGAAGATCTTAACCTGCATCCGTCTGGAGTGGGAGAATCATGGTGACCACCTGACTCGGCTTCTTTCTCCCAGCATCCTGTTCTGTTTACTCCACCCACCTAAGGGTTGGCCTATCAAATGGGCCTAGACAGTTTCTTTATTAATTAACCAATGAAAGCAACAGATTAGAAAGAAATTACTCCCACATCACACTGGTTCACCAAGACAGACATTATTGGTTCGAACGTTTGGATTTCATTGGTTCCCTCTCTCTTTTAGTAGATGGTTGCCATCATTTGTCACAGAAATAGTGTCACACATCAGTGCAGTAATTAGATAGCAGACTAGTTTTCCTTCTTTTAGTCATTGAAAACACCAGACTGACTTCATAAGTTTATTCTCTAATTGTCCTAATTCTCAGTGTTTGATCTCCTTTCCCAACATTTATGCCAACAGTAGTTATCATTTCTGTTCCTGATTATTATCATTGTAGCTTGGGCCGCATGGAAACTTAAAGGAGTCCTAGTCCGCATTTATCTGATAGGTATATACTTGTTTGTTTATTTAGTTTTAGTCTGGGTTTGTAATTGTTGATTCATTTGTTTCATTTTAGTTTCACTTTTTCAGATTTATAATTTTGAACTTATTATATAATTAGGACATTTCTTTTCCCTCTGTCCTTTCTACAAATTTTTCCATATACCATCTATGCTTGCATTCAAATTCATGGTATCTTTTTCATTAATGTTTCCTGTATACATAAATGTCTATGTGTATACATTCATAATTGTAAATAAAATGCTCAGTCCATATAATGTCAATTGGATGTGTGTTTTCAGTGCTGACCATTTGGGATTGAATAATCAATTAGTGTACTCTTTCCTGGGGGATATTATTTCTCCTGCTCCAAGCATCCCCCAGTAGCTATAATTCTCTGTGTAAGGTTGAGGCATTGTGGAATCCTCCCCATCCACTTTTGAATGTTCATTGTTCTTGTCTTTGTTCAACTTATATTTGGGAGGTCATGTTGGAAAGATTTTATAAACAAAGATCTAGCATTGCTAAGTGTGATGGTTATTCTTGGTTGTCAACTTGAATACATCTGGAATGAACTACAATTCAAAAATGGAGGGCACACTTGTTAGGATATTTTTGTTTCTTTTGAATTAACTGAATCCACTCCTAGTTTGGAACATTGAGATATGAAGATAAATGCCATTAACCCACATCTTGAAACTAAAGGACACACACCTTTGGTCAGAATAGAGAGGCTCCATGATACATGTTTAATCTGGGACACACCTTCTTCTGCAAGCCTATATAAGGACATGGAAATAGGAATCATTTTGCTCATTGTCTGTTTGTTGGCTCATTTTCTTAGTAGCACATTCATTTCTTCACTGGCATTGGACCCTACCCCTTTGGGATTCCTGCATATATAGAAGACCAGTCGAGACATCCAGCCTTGTAAACTAAGCAACTAACTGGATTTTTGGACTTTCTGTTACAGCCAGCCATTGTTGGATTATTTGCACAGCAGCCTGTAAGTCATTCATACATTCATATATATATATATACACACACACACACACACACACACACACACACACACACGTGTTTGTGTGGATGTGTATGTATGTATGTGTGTTCATTCTATAAGTTCTGTTGCTCTAGGGAACACTGACTAGTATACTAGGGGACACAATCTCACACCAAACTCTCTGGTCCTCTGCCTCTTTTAATCTTTATAGCTCCTCTTCAAAAAATGATACAGGAGTGTTTAAGAGATGTATTCAGTGGGTCTGGGCTGCACATCTCTGCATTTTGACTAGTTGTGGATTCTTGTAGTGGTTTCTGTTGAAAAGAGATGCTTCCTTGATGAGGGGTGAAGAATAAGCTTACCTGTGGGTTCAAAGAAAAATGTTTAGTTACTTGTTAGCAATTATAGTGGATTAGTAAAGTGGTGGTTGCTTGTTGTCCTCCAAGATTCATGTCTTTACCAGCACAAGTCAGAAGTTCCAGTGCCAGTCATGATTTCTCTTTTGTTAAGAGGGTCTTAAGTCCAATGAAAGAGATGTTGTTTACCACCAAGGTATGCGTGCCACTACTACATTCTTATGTCTATTGTGCCAGAATGACAGTTGATGTGGTTCATAAGCATCATAGCTGGCTAGGGCTGTTGGTTGGCTTCCTCCTTTGGAACCTTGCAATGAACAGTACTCCTCAGGGAACAATTTACTTTATTTTGAGACAAGGTCTCCAATATTCCAGCTGTCTGAGACTCACTTTGTAGACTTTGCTGACATTGAATTTAGAGTTCCCCTTGGCAATGTCTCCTGAGTGCTGAGTTAAAAGGTTTGCCTGACCTTGTCAGCTATACATAACTTTGTGTTATTATGCCTTTTGTTTTGTGTTTTTATTTTGAGATAGGGTTTTCTGTGCACTCACTCCATAGAGCAGTCTGCCCTGAGACTCACAGAGAACTGCCTAGCTATGCCTCCTGGGTGCTGGGATTAAAGGTGTGTGTCTCTACCACTTAGCATGGTATCATGTCTTGACAGTTACCCAAGGCAACCGAACAGCCTACATGATAGAAATGAGAGATCCACTGAATCTCTTGTTTAAAAACTTCTATTACACTACATTGAAATTTTAAATGAAATAGATGGATTTCCAGGTGAAAATAGCACACCAAATTTCAACAACATGAAATAAATATGTAGACAGAACATCAGTAGCAATGTAACTGAAACACCACCCTTAATACAACCCCATAACCAGATTGACAGGATTATAACAAAATTTCAGAGAAAAACTACCAGCAAGGATACTTAAAATACTTCTTGACATCTGGGAGTGGTGGCACATACCTTTAATCTCAGTACTTGAGAGTTCAAAGCCAGCCTGGTATTTGCAGTTCCAGGAGAGTCAGGACCACACAGTGAAATGTTGTCACAAATAAAATAGATTAAAAAGAATCTTCTTGATGCAAAAAAAAGAAGATTCCCCCTGACTCTTAGTATTACTTAATATTAACCAAATTATAAGAAGGCCTCCATGGCATTCTCCATTGATTCCAGCATAATGGAGGCAGATATAGGTGGATCTCAGTAAATTTGAGGCCATCATTGTGTATAAAGGGTCTTCTGGGAGAATCGGTGCTGTTACACAGGGACAGCCAGTCCTGAAAAAATAAAAAAATTAACCCCAACAAATATTGATACAAGCAAAAAAAATTACTACCTGATATGGTCATTTTAAAAAAATCCTGAACTGGGCAGGATGGGTCACAATTTAATCCTAGCATACCTGAGGCAGAGATAAGAAGATCTCTGAGATTCTGAAGCCAGCCTGGTCTACAAAGGAAGTTCAAGAAAAGCAAGGGTTCAAAGAGAAAATCCAACTGGAATAACAAAGATAATTTTTATCTATTATTAACTATTTCACACTCACATACATATATATGTGTCTATACACACCTAAGTGTGTGTGTGTGTTTTCCCGCATGCTCGCGCCTCAAATACAATACTTTCACTTCCTACATGTCTACTATCTTAGTCCACAATTCCAACAAATGTCTCTGTTGTGTTCATTTCTATTGATTTTGCTTGGGATCCCCTGAAATTAACAAGGCCCATCTGTAATACTGTGGATTTGGAGCTATGTGTAGGAGCTCAGCAGACGACTACAGCTGAAAGCAGTGATTCTTCCACAATCCATTCACAGCCACCATTTGAGAAGTAAAGAGTGAGTCCTGTGAGCCTTTCCGTTTCTTAGACTGACTGTGGTCTAGTGTGAGGTCAACGCAGGTAAGTACAGTTGCTGTTAGTTACTGATTACAGCAGCTGTATGGAGTCTAGAGAATGCTTAGCCCTTCTTCCTCTTTCTCTTCTCATTCCCTTTCCTCCTCATTTTCCTCAGTGTTCCCAGAGCCATATATGGGATGGTGTAACTGACGTTTTTTAGACCAGGAACCACAAAGCTTAATTATTTTCTGCATCTGGCACAGGCAGGAGTTTCTGAATTCACCACCGCCTTAAAAAAAAAAAAAAAAAACAAACAAACAAAAAAACTTTTATCTCAAAGCATCCTTAGCAGGCAGCACAGAAGACAAACTTGTTTCTGAGTAAAAGACAAGACCACCATCTAGTGGTGAGAGCAGTACAGCGCGGGAGGAACTCACCGGTGGGCTATTAGGAATAGACTCACCACCACCATAAGACACCCATTTCTTTTCAAAATCCAAGTTCCTGAAATGATTCTCCCAAAATCAAAATGTCAGAATTTGGTCTGGGCTTGTTATGTTTGTGTTGGTGATGGGAAGCTGGCATCTTAATTTAGCGTGTTAACGTTTGGTTAAGTATGTAACCCGGGAGTCTGGTAGTCAAGTCGAGGTTAGGCGGCCTTTTATCTGAAGGTTCAGAACTCACTGTGGGGTCAGACACCCGGATACAGCCTCCTCCTAGATCACTTGTGGTCTAGGCTGGCAGCAAGCATGTGGGGAGCTGTGCAGAGCGGGTCCAGGGCAGCCTGACAGCTGGAGCTGTGTGGAAGGCGGCCTGAGACGGAGTTGGAGGGACCGGTCTCAGTGGGACGGAGACTCTCTAGTGAAAAAGCGTTTGGGAGGGTGTGAGGAACAGGAGAGTTGGGGAACAATGGAGATGGAGAAGTGGGAGGAATTAGAGTAGTGACGTAAACGGAAGCTGGGAAACAGTGTAAGAGGACCCGGAAGTGGACTGAGGCGTCAAAGCCGGAAGTGTCGAGTGTCCATTCCATCTCGTTACTAGAGGGCCTGCACCTTGTGGAACCGAGTGGTGCAGACCTGAATGCGGAGGACGCGGCGCGTGTCACTGGGACGCGAAAACTCCCGGGAGCCGCTGTCACCGCGGGGCGGCCTGGGAAAGTCAGCAGCGCCGTGGAGGAACTGCAGCGCGGCGGCCCTGGAACCTCCCAGGTCAGAGGAGCTGCGGGGCTGGGACCCAGGAGGGAAGGGACCAGGGGTGCGAGCAGTTTCTCTGCTGTGCACAATTAAGCCGGCTCCGAAATTCTACTGTGGATGTCTTCCCTTATCGATAAATTTTACATAATAAGACTGGACCAGTCCTGATTCTTTTTTATTGATCTTTATTTCCAAAATATTACTATAAAAATGTGGTAGAGTATTTGAATTTATGTGTTGATATTTGCAAACACGGTTCTCTTTGCTACGGTGGAAAAGGCCAGGCTTTTAAAATTTGTGTTTATCCCGGCTAACGTCTACGTTAAACCACTTCCCTATTCAACAGAATGGCATAGAATTAGGGACTTTGACTCTTGGAGCGCTTTTATATATTCATCAAGGAAAGAACGCCTGCGAATGTAATTGAATCGGAAAGTATAGTTTTTTGCAATTTCCATAGTTATGACTGTAAACATATAAAAGAAAACTTTTTATCCACCATTATTTTTTTCATCTGAGATGTATGGACTGTAATGTAAATACAGCTTTCTGAAGAATGTTTTGACATGCTTGGAGGCATACACCTTTAGTCCCACCACTGGGGAGGCAAAGACGACCAGAGACCTCAGTGAGTTGGAGGCCAGCATGATTTCCATATTGAGTTCTAGGACAGTCAGAGCTTCATAGTGAGACCCTATGTCAAAAAAAATAAAAAATAAAAATAAAAAAAAGGTAATGTGCAACTTAGAGCCTGAAAAAGCATACTATGCGTTTTTATGGCATTAAGTCACCATATTTTAACAGTTAGAAAGGGCATTAAAAACCACGTGGTGGTGGTGGTGGCAACGCCTTTAATTCCAGCATCTAGGAAACAGAGACAGGTGGATCTTGGCATTTCTTGCCATCCTAGTCTACAGAGCAAGAATAGAATTAGGTTAAGGATAGCTGGGGCTGTACAGAGGAACCCTATGTTGGATGCATCTGAGGGAAAAAAATTGAAAAGGTATTGTTTAGGATAGTACTAAATACATCTCTTAAATAATTATAATCGCTCATCTATATCAGAAAAATGTCTACAATAGTCTTTCCTCTCCTCTCCTTATTCAAAGAAAAGGACTGTCCCTAGATGACCAAACTGCTGTTCTTCTGTTCTTTCTAACTGTTGTGTTTATTTTGTGGTCTGTTGACACCAGTGGTGTGACTGGACTTCCCCCAGGAGAAGGGTAATGCCTGGACTCGGCTCAGGGGGCTTTGCACAGAGACTGGATGTTGCAGAGCTGCAGCAGTCTGGTTTCTGTGGGTGAGAATAGTTTGCTTGCAGTTGCTTATATTCCTCCTTAGGGTTTCTCGACAAACTACTCTGCAAGTGTGTGTCCCTTTGAGAGGTGCGAGGCTACCGTCCTATTGGGTCCATGATAAATTGTGAACATCACTAGTGTATAATAATCTCATACCAGTTACTCAGTTCCATTTCTGTCCCTGAGATTTGACTGATCTGTGACTAGAAGTGGCATTCAAGTGACACTAACTGAAAATGCTTTCTAAATATTTTGAGTGTGCTGACCCTGCAGGACAACTGGGGAATCATTTGTAGAATCCTTTCTTTAGTTTTCTCTTTATCCACAGAGCAATTCTGTGTGAGAAATCTTTGTGCTTTCTGAAGAATCTTTCTCATGTGCAGGGCTCACTGATCACCCAGACCCGCTCACCTGTGGAGCAGAACAAAGAGGCCTGAAAGGTGAAGAGGAAGGAGAGAGTAGCTAAGGATCCAGGTATGGTGGAGAGATTGATGAAGGGATGGAAAGGGGCTCAAGATAATGTGTAAGTGGGACATACAATCAGTTTGCCACATTCTGTTTTACTAGAAAAAATTCCAGAGACTGGGAAAGATCTCCTCGGAATTGCCCTAGTGTGTAGGCAGAGACTGCTTATTCGTTTCCCAGGTGCCCAGACCCAAATATAATTACACAGAACCTATATTAATTATAACACTTCTTGGCCAATTAGCTCATGCATATTTCTAGCTAATTCTTAACATCTTGAATTAACCCATTTCTATTAATCTATGTATCGCCATGAGGTTCTCTAGCATCTCTCCTTTGGCAGCTAAATGGCATCTCTCTGACTCTTCCTTCTTTTCTCCTCTATCTCTGCTTGAAATTCCTGCCTTGCTCTATTCTGCTCTGCCATAGGCCGAAGGAGCTTCTTTATTAATCAATGATAACAAAACACATTCACATCATACAGAGGGAAATCCCACATCACCTCCCCTTTTCTGTCTAAATAAAAAGGAAGCTTTTAACTTTAACATAGTAAAATTACATATAACAAAACAGTTATCAAGCAAGAATTATAGTTATAATATTTAGTCCATTTATATTTGTCAAATTAAGGAAAATATTATCTATCCTATCTTTGTTAGTCTAAAGTTTTATATCTAATCTATCTTTTATAATTATAACTATCTTTCTTAAACTTTGTCAAAGACTCCAGAAGGATATAGTATTACCTAAGTAAACAGGAAGTGCATTGTAAGCAACTTCCAAAACACTAGAATTGACAGAGACATCACACTGCCCGGACAGTTACCCAAAGTTCTGTATGTTGCAGCATCCATCTTCAGCCTACAGAATGGTGCCTATGGATACTATGTGCCTGTAGGCTGAAGATGGAGAGTGCCTGTGAGTGATGGATAGTGGTTATAGCTTCTTCTCCAAGATCCATGGCTCCACTAACCCCAATGAGACTGGCTAGGTTTCCATTACTAGGCATGATTTCCCTCTTCTTGGAAGTGTCTTAAGTTCAACTAGTAAGCTGTTGCTTCCCATTTAGATATGTGTACCACTCTTGCATCCTTACGGCTATTGTGCAGTGCAGATCTCTGTTGTGGGTCCTAAGTATTGTAGCTGGATAGGACTGTCAGTTGACTCCTTCCTTTGAAAGTGTGCATGTTAACTTCAGAAACATGAAAGATAGTCCTCAGGCAGGAAGCCGTAAATTCTGATCCATCTTGAGTCCTCTGGCGTCTGTGACTGAAGTGCATAGCTTCTTTCACTCACCTTCTACCTCTGGGAAGCAACCATGAACAAGTGCAGTAACCTGTAATGTTTTGAGAATCTCTTGGACAGATCTGATCAACAATTTCAAAATAGACTTCTCATGTCTGGTGTTGGTGGTTTTGTTAGAAAAATCTATGAATCTTGTGGGAACATTATTATCTCAGATGGGAAATTTTCCTTTACATTCTAAATGTATATGCTTACACAGATTTACATGTATTGTAGTCATATTTGGTGGATGAATAATAATATGACTACTTATGACTTTTTAAACATCCTTACTGTTATTTTACCCTCCTTCTCTGTTTACATCTTTCCCTTCTCCATAATTAAATCCCTCCCTGTTTTTCCATTGCCTTTTTACATCACTTGTTCCATTATTCCCCTCTCTATTACTCATCCACGTTCTACAGCACTCTCTTTTTACTTTGTTTGTTTGTTTGTTTTGAGTTTTTTTTTTTTTTCAAGACAGGGATTCTCCATATATCTTTGGCTGTGTTGGAACTCAGTCTGTAGATGAGGCTGGCCTCCAACTCACAGAGATCTGCCTGCCTATGCCTCCCAAGTGCTGGGATTAATGGCATGAGCTACCACACCTGGTCTCTTTTTAGTTTTCTTTTTACTACAGTCATTCCAGGTTGTATACTGACATCTGAAGATTTGGAGCCAGGAACTTCCTATGAGAGAGATCATGCAGTGACTGTCTTTCTGGGTCCAGGTTACCTCACTCAATATGATCTTTTACAAGTCCATTCATTTAGCTGCAAAGCTCACTATTTCAATTTTCTGAACAGCTGAATAGTATTCCATAGTGTGTATGTACCACATTTTCACTATCCATTTGTCAGATGAAAGACATTTAGTCTCTTTCCATTTTGTAGTTATTGTGAGTAGAACAGCAATGATCGTGGCTGAGCAGGTATTTGTGGAGTAGGATGTTCAGTCCTTTGAGCATATGCCAAGGAATGGAAATAGCTGGGTCATGTGTTTGAGTTAACTCACTTGAGTTAACTTACTTGAGGAAATATTATTTAATTGTAGATTCTCCATAATGATTTCCAGGGTGGATAGATATTTTGTTGCTAGGGTTTTTATTCCTTATGTTTTCATTTTTGATGTTGTTGGTTGGTTTAATAGTAATATTTCTCTGCTCTGTGAGAATTAGTGATTTGTTATTTTGCCCATGAATGATTACTTCCTAGGTTTCATGTATTTATCTATTCTTCACATGAAATTTATTATTTCCTATAGTCTCATGGATAAATCCACTGATTCTCCTGTATAAATTTTGCCTCTATTTATTTTTTGCAAAGCTTAGTGAAATCAAACATGTTAACTTGAAAATATCTTGAAATGCAATTAATGTCTCCATCGATTTTAAGATAACTTCCTGGATGCAACAATATTGTTGATGGTGATTTTCTCTTTAAGCTTCAAATGTCGTTCCATGCTCTTGTGGATTTGGAATCATTGTCTGAACACCTGGTCATATTCTGTTGCTTGGGTCTTTTCAAGTAGTTTGTCATTCTTCTCTAACAGCTTTCAGTATTAATTTTTGCACTTTCTTTTTGACCCCTTATATAAAAGGGCAGCAAGCCATCTATTCCTTGATCCTGAAAGAAAAACTCAAGGAAAACAGAAAGAAATGGCTGATTCTCCAGTAAGCATGTCCCAGGTCAGTTATCCTATCGACTTTTTTCAAATAGAAATGTTATATATTCAGATATTCCAACTCTTTTGATTTTTTGCTTCTGGTAATTTTTGAATTTTGTTATGAAAAATATTCAAAGAAACAACAACAAAATCACACACTGCAATTAACCAGACCTAAGGAATAGGCAACTCAGTGTACTTTTATGCGGTTAGAGTCGTCATTGGGAACAGAAGCTCTGCAGCCTAACATGGAATTTTATATTTTTGTTATTGAATATATTTTTGTGAACTTATCTACCATGAAAAAAAAATCTGTGGCAGAATTAGAGCTAGAAAGGCAATTAGCTTTATATCCTGTGTCATAACATGTGATCATTACCTGCATTCAATCCTACCTCAACCCTGGTATTTAACCTGTCTTGTTCTCTTTTCTCCATGTTTTATTGTGCCCACATATACATTCTTTCCATATACACATAATATTGGCTAGATTCTGCATATGAGGAAAAATGTGGTTTCTTCTATCTGATGTTGTATGGCCTCATTTAATATTACACATTTGAAGTCCATCCATTTTCCTGCAAATTTTTATTACATGTTTCTCTTTAGCTAGATAGTATTCCATTTTATATAAATACCATTTTCATTATCCATTTATCTTTTGATAATTAGGTGGCTTCTAATACTTTGCTGTGGTGAATGCAGAAGCAGTAAACATGGGTGTAAATATCTCTATATTGGGGTGTAGATTTCTCCAGCTATGTTCCCAGGATTGATGTTGCTGGGTCATGTGTTAATTCTCTCTTCAAGTTTTTCAATAATGTACAAACTGATTTCCATAATGACTGTATTAATTTACATTCCCCCACATACACCGACAGTTTATGAGGCTTCCTTTCTCTCGTCATCCTCTCTAACATTTGTCGGATGGGTTGATGACAGCCATTCTCTACCTAGAGTGATGCAGTATTTCAATGTAGTTTTAGTTTGTGTTTCTGTGATGGCATTTTAGGGATCCTGAACACTTTTTGCAGTATTTATTGGCCACTTGTGTATATGTCTTTGAAATTTGTCTTTCAGTTCATTTGCCCATTTGTTTATTGGCACTTCTATTTCCTTGGTATTTAGTTTTTGTAATTGTTTGTAAATTATATATATGAGCCTTTATCCAAAGTGTCACAGATTCTCTCCTGCTCTGTAGGTGTCTGTGTGCTCTGCTGATTATTCCTTTTGATGGACAGAAACTCTTGCTTTTCATGTTGTCCCATCTATTGACACTTGGGTCAGTTCCTGTGCTGTTGGTGTTCATTGTAATCAATAAGTCCTTGCCCATCCCAATATCCTCATGGGTATTCCCTAAGTTTTCAATGTTTCTGTGTGTTTCTGGTTTTAAATAAGGGTTTTGATACATTTTGAATAGATTTTTATATAAATGAAAGATGAGAATCTAATTTCATTCTTCTCCTCAATCCAGTTTTGCCAGCACCAGATGTTGAAAAGGCAATATTTTTTCTTAAAAGTAAGTTTTTAGCCAGGTGGTGGTGCACGCCTTTAATCCCAGCATTTGGGAGGCAGAGGCAGGTGGATCTCTGTGAGTTCGAGGCCAGCCTGGTGTGGTCTACAAGAGCTAGTTCCAGGACAGGCTCCAAAGCTACAGAGAAACCCTGTCTCGAAAAAAAAAAAAAGAAAGAAAATAAGTTTTTTTTGATTCATTGTGAATTTCACACCATGCAACCCAGTCCCTCTGTATCTACCTTTCACCCTTGGAACATCACCCACAAAGGAAAATTTAAAAAGAAATAAAAGATAGAAAAGTAAAAAAAAAAAAAAATTTAAATTACAATAATAATAGCCATACAGTGGTGGCACACTCAGGACGCAGAGACGGGTTGCTCTCTGTGATTTCAAGTCTTGCCTGGTCAACAGAGCAAGTTCCAGAACTGACTCCAAAGCTACAGAGAAAGCCTGTCTCTAAAAACAAAACAAAAAGCAGTAGTAATGATAATAATAATGCAAAAACAAACAAACAGAAAAGAACACTTTGGTCCTCCATCTTTCCCACCTCTCCATCATCTCTTTATTTGTCTTGTGGCATTGGGAGCTGTGCTGTGGCACTTAGTAGACCCTTTTGTCCAAACAGCTTTATTTGCAGTTGTTCATTCTATATTGGGTTGTTGGTTATATTTATTCTGGTACACCATCGGTATTAGACCTTCACCAAAACACTGTCCAACGTCATGGTGATCCTGAGTTTATGGTCCACCCCCTTCACTCATTCCAGCAAAGCATAGAGGGTAGATGTTGGGGTGGCCAACTCAAAGCACTAGATGTGTGCCTGGGAGGTAGCTCTGTTCTCACTCCAGACTTCTGGTACCACCCCTCTCAGGTAATGGGTGGGGCCAGCTTTCCCAATTGTTGGGGCGGGGAGTCTCCACTATGAGTGGCAGAGCCATGTTCCTCAGGACTCTACTCCAGGGCCTTTGAAGAACAGGGCCAGTGAGGAGCTTTGCTGGCTTAGCACAGCCCTTGGACTTCAACAGGCACAGTTTGCATGGGCCCCTGTAGTAACACATGCCACAGACCTCAACTACAGCAGCCATGGACCCAGACATGGAAAAGACCATATTTTTGTATTGTATCATTTTGCCTCCATTGTCAAAGCTTTTTTTTTAAACTTTATTTAACTTTATTTCATGCGCATTGGTATAATGATGTCAGATTCTTTTGAACTGGAGCTACAGACAGCTGCGAGCTACCATGTGGGTGCTGGGAATTGAACCCGGGTCCACTGGAGGAGCAGTCAGTGCTCTTAACCACTGAGCCATCTCACCAGCCCCTTGTCAAAGCTTTTTGCATAGCTTTATGGTAGTCTTTCTGGGATCTCTATTATATTATGTTATTCTCCAGTCTATTTGTATAACTAAACCTGACTGTCTTTATGACTACAGCTATACAATATAATTCCATAAATCTACACCTATAGTACTTTTCTCCATTCTATCCTTCCCATATTAGTTACTTTTTCCCAAGGGCAAATATCTCACATAAACTTAGGACCTGTAATTTTGAAAATATTTCCACTTTAACACATGAACAAAACATATGTTGATGCCTAATTGCTGTAGAAGGTAAACTATATCTTTATTAGTGAGTGCGGACTCCTGTGACATATAGACTCTATTTGTGGGAACTGTCTCACTTCCTTGAATATTGGGTATAAAGGGAACATACTGAAACACATGGGATAGTTGTCACAACATCTTAGCAATATGTGCAATTAAGAGATAAAGCTTGGTTTTTAATGCTAAATAATACTTGGATTCTAATACTAAAAATTTAAGTGCACTAGAAAGTACAAAACATGGCTTGCACATTTGACTTGGTTGTACCATAAAAATGATGTTCTTGGGTGTAGATTAAGATTGCAGTCTGCTTGCATTTCTCTTTGGTGTTTAATATCACCATGTGTTTGTTGACAGCTGCCATCTGTTTGTCTCAGGAGAATTGCTGCTCACATCACTCACTTGGTTGGGATGCTCAATGATAACTTCCCAAACCAGAAGTTTTTTGTTTTTGTCATTCTGAGACAGTTTCTTTGTGTAGCTCTGGCTGCTCCTAGAACTAGCACTGTAGACCAGGCTGAGAGGTTTGCCTCTGCTGCCAATGCTGGGATTAAAGGCAAGTACCTGGCTTGAGATCAGGATTTTTTATTTCTCTTTTTCTTTTTTGCCCCAAACAAGATCCCACTGTGCAGCTCTTTCTGGCTGGAGCTCATTATGAAGCATTATGTGGAATTCATCAGGAATAATGTCTTAAGGCATTGACTGACTGATGTGCATAATCCATCACATTTGGGGCAGAAAGAACATTCTTCATGATTACTTTGCCCTAATCAGTTCCTCTGAGAGCAATGGCTCTGTCCCCCGCTGAAGCTGCAATGTTTTAAAGTGGAGATCTCAGAAATGGCCTTTGACCCTCAGGTTTGCTTTTCTGTTTCTGAATCGTGGCTCAAACAGAATATATCACCACTTTCCATCTCTAGAGAAATAAAGGAAGAACCATGAACACTAATAACCTCAAATCTGTTAGACAGTACAGCATAAGTAATAACAAGAACACATTGAAGACTACAAAATTCAGATACAGTAGCTCAGATTTTCTCATGAGCCATTACATTTGCAGAACACTGAAAGGTGACAATAATTTTATAGAATTTAATATCTTCATTAACTTATAGGAAATTGATGCACTCCAGACTGCATCCAAAGTTACTACACTTATGTGTACATGCTGAGCTGAAACTTAAATATTATTTGATGTTTTTGGACTTCCCTCAATTTTTACAACACTTTTAGAGTAAAATACTCTTCAAATCCTCTGAAATTGTTAGTTTTCTAAGTTGCCTGAGGTCTCTTTCTTTCTTTCTTTTTTTTTTTTTTTTTTTTTGTGTGTGTGTGTGTGTGTGTGTGTGTGTGTGTGTGTGTGTGTGTGTGTTTTCCAAGACAGGGCTTCTCTGTACCTTTTGAGGCTGTCCTGGAACTACACCCTTTGTAGACAGGCTGCCCTTGAACTCACGGAGATTCATCTGCTGCCACCTCCCAAGTGCTAGAAGTAAAGATGTGTACCACCACAGTCCAGCTCCTGAGGCCAATTTCTTAAGAAAATTTTAGATTTTATCAAATGTGGCTGATGTGGATTTTTCTATCTACTGGCTACTGGCTCAAATATTCTTATAAAAATAATCCCATAGACTACTTAGCATGTTGATGTTAAAACTGACAGTGGGCAGTGTTGTTGCACTCTGTTATTATGAAAAAAACCAACAAATTTCTTTGCCTATAAAGTCAATCATAAATTTTGTCTTCCATACGTGCCCCTTTTCTTTTTCATAGGATGAAATTGGATCTAGAGTTTAAACATCCCAACTGAGCCTGTTAGAATATAGTCATGTAAGGCCCAAGTACGGAGAGAATTGATTCATGTCAGTATTTTTAGCATGGTCTACAGGTCCAGCATTTAAAACATATTTCTTCCTCACAAATTTTCCTTCTGAGATTTGTACACTGTGATCCTCTGCAATATAACACAGGATGCATAACAGATAGACAACCTTGTCTAGATCTTGTGTGTCTTATTGCAAGGATATGCTTGTGAGACTATTATGTCATCCTATTTTCACAGAATTAGAACATTCGTTATAGAATGTGACTATATTAGAAGTCATCTTTCTGAGGAATTGTCTTCACTCATCTCAAGTTTCCTTAAGTCAAGGAAAGCACTCTGTCCAGGATCACCTGCTCAAACTGTACTTTTTTGTTTCAGGGTCTGTTGACTTTCAGGGATGTGACTGTGGACTTCCCTCAGGAGGAGTGGGAATGCCTGGACTCTGCTCAGAGGGCTTTGTACATTGATGTGATGTTGGAGAATTATAGCAACCTGATCTCTGTGGGTAAGAACATTTTGCTTCTAGAATTCATAATTTCGTGCTTTGTATGTACCTACTGAGTTAGGTTATAAACTCTTTGTTAAGCTCTCTTGGAAATAACAGGAGCCCAGGGAGTGTTTGGTAGTAGGAAAGAACTTTTTCATGCTATTTAACTTTTTCTTTTTCTTTTCCATGTTAGCGGTGTCGTGCATCACACCTCAGTCGGTTCCACAATGCATTCAGAAACTTAGTATGGTATAAAGTTTATACTCATATCTTAAAGTTCCATGATTTTACTTGTGAGAAAAAGTTGAGATATGCAAACTGAAAGTTCTCCCTAAATACGCTCAAGATTGTGACAAGAAACAGCAATTGGAAGTCATTCTTGTTTTTTTTTTGTTTGTTTGTTTGTTTGTTTTTTTTGTTTTGTTTTTCGAGACAGGGTTTCTCTGTGGAAGTCATTCTTGGATTCCTCTACTTTGTGTTTTCTTTATGTACTAAGTACAATATTGTGTTAGACATTTGTATTTTTTCTAAAAATTCTAGCATGAGTCATAGGCTGACTCACAGAACATGATTATTGTATGCAAGGCCTAGTCACCCCTCTAGAGCAAATGAAATGGCCCTAGGATATGGAGAGGAGAGAGTAGCCACAACTAGAATGGGCTCGTGAGTGAGGAGGACAACAGTGATGGCTTCCAGTGAAAGGGAAAGCAAGAGCTGAGAATGTGTTTGCAATATTCAATTCCTTTTAAAAGGATTCCTGATCATTTCACTTAGTATAGCATCTAGTCCCAGGATGCAACCCATCTGTTGTAATAACTGTTAAAAGGCATTGTGTCTATTGCCCCTGAATTTTGGTGATAATACTAGTACAAAATGCAATTTTATTTGGCAATGCTGACATCAGATTGGAATAATTTTACAAAATTTTAAATCTAATGGGAGTCCATTAAGTAGGATTATTCTTTAATTGCCATCCTTGTATTATTATCCCTGTGTTACATCTTTCATTTTATTGCCAGTGGAAAATACACAGACAGACACCCTTCTAGGAAATAATCTCAGGAGTCAGTGTACAGAGTGGACCTGAGAATAGTCCTATGAGGAAATTTAAGAAACACAGCAGTGTGTGGAGGTCAGGCAGTAGAGAATAGACATAAGCAATAGCTGCCCATGACAGCCCTGCCTCAAACAATCTGAGCTATGTCTGTCAGAATACTGTCTTTGCATCCATTACTTTTGAAGAATAATGTTTTTTTTTTCTCAAGAAAGAAATAAACCCTGTGGTGCTTTTAAATAAGACTTTAATCTTTAAAGGAATTGGATCTTCAGAACAGTACTCCTTATTGTCTGTCACTTAGTAAGTGTAAATACTCTGAACCTGGGATTGGATTAAACTCTTCTTCATCTGTTTCTGAGAAGAAACACTTAAACGTAGAGTCATACATTCTAAATATAATTAGTCAGTGAGCTCTATCTCAAAGCTAATTAATGATTTCTAAGTTCTTGATCCATCTTGTCCCATTAGACATTTTCTATAAGGATGCGATATCTATTATTAATTACATACCATTGAAGCTTGTCTGACTGCTTTGTGACAATAGATAAAATTATAGTGAGAGAAAAATATTTAAGTAGTTGCTGATTGACTTAAGAGAGAACTTAATCATTTATTAAATGTTTAATCTTGAAACAAGTCCTATAAACTGAACTGTATTCATTTTCAGAGAACTATTACATATGTGATCCTGCCCATCAACATGTGAAGACCGAAAAGGAGTCTTTTGAGTGTAATGAACTTGGCAAAGTGCTTCATGATCCCTCCACAAGTGCTTTTTATAAAACAAGTGGAACTACAGAAAACTCCAGTAACTACACATGCACTAACCCCAGGGATTCTTCTATTGACTCATCGAACATAGATAGACATGAAAGCATCCACACTGGAGAAGAACCTTACAAATCTAAAGACTGTGAGAAATCTCAAAATTTGTATTCCAGCATTACTCAAGATCAGAGACTCTACACTGCAAACAAAGAACACAGGCAAGGAGAATACGATGACTATTTCAGCTCTACATGCAGTCTTTTGCAACAACCAATCTACATTGGAGAGACACCATACCAGTGTGAGAAATGTGGGAAATCTTTCAGGACCGCCTCACACCTCTCTGTACATCAGAGAATACATACTGGAAAGAAACCCTACAAGTGCAACGATTGTGACAAATCCTATAACCAGTGGGCAAATCTTAAAACACATCAAAGACTTCATACTGGGGAGAAACTTTGCAAATGCAAAGAATGTGGAAAGTCCTTTCCTCAGTTCTCAGCACTTAAAAGCCACCAGAAAACGCATACAGGAGAGAAGCCTTACAAATGTATGGAATGTGACAAATCCTTTGCCCACTGTTCCAGTTTCAGGAGACATCAGAAAATCCATACTGATGAGGAACATTGCAGTTGTCAAGAATGTGGCAAGGTCTTTCATCAGCTATCACATCTTAAAAGCCATTACAGACTCCATAGTGGAGAGAAGCCTTACAAATGCAATGAGTGTGACAGATCCTTTCCTCACTATTCATCACTTAGATGGCATCAGAAAACTCATTCTCTAGAGACATTTTACAAATGCAAAGAATGTGGTAAGTCCTTTCTTGAAATATCACATCTTAACAGACATTATAGAATCCATACTGGTGAGAAGCCTTACAAATGTGAGGTATGTGACAAATCCTTTACTGTGAATTCAACTCTTAGAACACATCAGAAAATTCATACTGGAGAGAAATCATACAAATGTATGGAATGTGACAAATCCTTTACCCGGGACTCACATCTTAGAAGACATCAGAGTGTTCATACTGGAGAGCGACCTTACAGTTGTAAAGAATGTGACAAATCTTTTACTACATGCACATATCTTAGAGAACATCAGAAAATTCATACTGGAGAAAAACCTTACAAATGTGGAGAATGTGACATGTCTTTTATCCAACGTTCAAATCTTAGAACACATCAGAGAGTACATACGGGAGAGAAACCTTACAGATGTAAGGAATGTGGCAAATATTTAACTACACGGTCAACTCTTAGAGAACATCAGAAAATTCATACTGGAGAGAAACTGTACAAATGTATGGAATGTGATAAATTCTTTACCCATAACTCACAGCTTAGAACACATCAGAGAGTTCATACTGGAGAGAGACCTTATAGTTGTAAGGAATGTGACAAATCTTTTACCACATGCTCATATCTTAGAGCACATCAGAAAATTCATACTGGAGAGAATGTCTACAAATGCAAAGACTGTGACATGTCCTTTCTCCAGAATTTTAGTCTTAAAATACATCAAAAAATTCATACTGGAGAGAAACGTTATAAATGCAAAGATTGTGACATATTTTTTAATCAGATTTCAGATCTTAGAACACATCAGAAAGTCCATGCTGGAGAGAGACCTTACAAATGTCTGGAATGTGACAAAACCTTTACCTACATGTCTAATCTTAGAACACATCAGATAGTTCACACTGGAGAGAGACATTACAGATGTAAGGAATGTAACAAATCTTTTACTGGCTGCTCATATCTTAGAGCACATCAGAAAATTCATACTGGGGAGAAACTTCACAAGTGCAAAGACTGTGGTATATCCTATACCCACCTTTCAAATCTTAGAAGACATCAGAGAATTCATACTGAAGAGGAAAATACTGTTGTAAATCATGTGACATAGCATTTATATGGTATTGTTTACTTACAAATCCCAAGAATATACATTATAGAAACAAAGACAAGAAATTTGTGAAAGCCTTTAATGAAGTCTTAAATCTTGTAAAATATCACAAATAAAATTCTGCAATAGTAACTGTCTGAATTTTTGTTTGATTTGATTTTTGAGACTGGGTTTCTCTGTAGCTTTGGGGCCTGTCCTGGAACTCACTCCGTAGACCAGACTCTGTGTCTGCCTCCCAAGTGCTGGGATTAAAGGCATATGCCACCACTACCCAGCTTTTAAAAAATGTGTAGCCTAGGCTGGCCTCAAACACATGATCCTCCTCCCTCCACCCCCTTCACCAAATCCTGCCAGTATCTACCATCACAGCTATGAATTATTTTTAATGTCTGTGGGTGCTTTGTCTACAAGACTTTCTGTGTACTACATGTTTGTCTGATGCCTATGGAGGCCAGAAGAGGGCATCAGATTCCCGGAAACTGAAGTTTTAGACAGTTGTGAGGAATTTTGTGTTTTGAAAATTGAACACAACACTCTGGACACAAAGCAGTCTTCTTACCCTCCAAACCATTTCTCTAGTCCGTGGGAATAGCTGTAATAAAAAAAACATTTGCCTTGTTCAAAAATCTGAAAATTGATAATACTACCAAGCATGGTGGTGCATGTTTTTAATCCTAGCACTCAAGGGGCAAAGGAATAAAGATCTCTGAGTCTGAGGTCATCCTGGGCTACATAGTGAGTTCCTGGACTGCCAGGACTACATAGACCCTGTATCAATAATGTTGTTGATGATGATAATGATGATGATGAAATTACTAATGTAAAAGAAATGTGACTTTAGTTTTCCTTCTAAATGTGCTGTATATCACAAAATTAATAGTTCTGGGTGTAATGGTAAAAATAAAAGTGCTTCCCTGTTCCTGAGGTGCGCAGTCACAGAAATGCTGCAGGTCCCTGAGTGGTGGTAGTGGGCAGATGTAGGCGTAAGTCATAAACAATGCCACACCAGTTTGGAATTATGATTAATAGGGTGGTATTTATTTAAAGGGGAAAAAACTTACAGATCACCCTCAGCCCTCTGCGCAACCAGGAAGGGAGTCTAGTCGCTGGTGGAGCAGGAAGTGAAGAGAGAGAGGAGAAGGAAGTGGCCACTTTTTTAAAGGGAGAGAGACCACTCCCCAATGGGCTGGTATCTCAGCTGCCGATAGGCTGGAGGAGTGGGAGGACCTCCTGTAACAGGCAGAGGGTCATGAGACCATGCTGCAGGTCCCTGAGCAGCAGAGGCAGTGGGCAGCAGGTCCCAAAGGCAGCCAGTTCCAGGCAGGGAGCAAGTCCCTGGCAGGGAGCCATACAACAGGTAAGAGACAGAGACATGGATAGGCATGCTATGCAGAGTGAAGTAGGATATTTATTTAGTGGATTAGGGAAGGAGAAGGGGGACAAGGAAAGAAACAGAAAGGGAGGGGGAGTATGCAGGGCTTGCCTCTTAAAGGGATAACAGACCATTACACTGAGAAACCATAAAAAAGTATACCTTACTTAATCTGTATGTCTTATTGTTCTTGGAAATTACAGTCACCAAATGCATTGAATTTGTAAAGTCCTATACCCACAAAAGAAAACAGAAAACGCTCTAATAAAGTCTCATTTTTTGTTCACTTTCAAAATTCTTCACCCTGGTGTCACACCTTACAAATAGCAGAAGATAGAAACTGTAAAGACAGAAGCTGTGCATGTAACATTACAGGCATGACAAACAGTTTAGAAATCCCAAGCACTCTGGATGGTGGTGCCTGCCTTTGTTGAAGAAATTTAGCAGAATCACTATATGGGGTAAATACTGGAATGAAGAGCTGTTTTCTAGAAGCACCCTGACCTTGAAGAATCCTCGTGGAATACAGTGATTGTTTGCTGGAGGGGCCTTGGAGCCATCCCATGACTTTGGTCATAAGATGCCTCGGGTACACCTGAGGCTCTTGTATTATTGTGCATTGCAAAGGATACATAATAAAGTGTACTAGAGTCCTTGGGGTATGCGTGTAAATTATATTAGGAACCTTGATATGAGGAAATACTTGGTGTAACTTTCAATAAATACACTTTTGTACAGCTGTTCTGGGTTCAATCCATCAGAAGAGGCTGGACCTTTCTGCTACCAAACTGCCCTTAAATTTCATCTTGGAGTGCCTTTTCTCTTCAACTGACTATTTGGTGCACCCTAGCATTTGGTGACCAATGATGTGGTACACGAGGAAAGAAGGGTCCAGGTACCCCAAGACTGGAGATAACATATGCCCAAAGTAGTAGGCAAGACACCAGGGTAGGGCAGGAACATGTAGAACTTAAAATCTCCATCTCAGGAGCAGCAACAAATAAAATGGGTCTTGAGACAAAGGATAAATCCAGGAAAGAGAATCTTTCCAGTAGAGAAATGGGGGGAAGGAAGTTTTAAAAGGTATCTCCACAATAGAGAAAGGTGAGGCAGAAAATAAAAAAAAAAAAACAAAGAAAATTAATGGAGAAAGGAGAAATGTTTAATTTTTCCCAATAGAAAAGGGAAAATGTGAAAGAAATTAAGATTTTTTGACTCTCACTCTCGGGCTGCATCTGTCTGTCAACTCTTTCAGGATCAGCCTGCCAGCAGAGAGCAGGGGCATCTGAATTACGAAAAATAACTGGCAGGACTTCCCTGCTGCACCCTGAGCAAGCACAGCCAGCCCAAAGCTTAGAATTGTCTTGTTTATGTGCTTAATTTTGGTTAAAATATTTTTTGTTTTTTCCTCAAGAGTAAGAATAACTCAATATTAAAGGTCCCTTAATGGGAAATTTTTTTTTGTTTTTCTCTAGTAATGAGAATAACTCATCAATGAGCGCTTCATGGTAGAAAGAAAAAATTGAAACAAGCCCAACTTCTAGTAAAAAATGATTATACATAGGGCATATAGTACTAAGTCAATGCTGTTTGAATTACCAGAGTTGTTAGTCACTCATTACATGGAGGATATTCTCTTCTCTTAATTGTCTAACGAATGATTAATATTTATAATAAATGAACTGAAGAGTCCTTGAAAATAAAGATGTAGATTCCAGAAATATGAGTGTACAAATCAAGAAATATAAAGTTGTAAGCCTAGGAGAATAAGAACAGACTGTCAGCAGCTTTCTCAGCAGCTTGAGGATTAACTATTAACAGTGGGTTATTTCACTTTAAAATCCATAGCTCTATTTACAAGGCCAAAGCATCTCTCTGCAAACTGAGAGCCAGCCTATGGATATGAGCTGAGTCAACTTTTAGGAAATAGATATAGGACCTCTGTGTTATGCATTATCCCTGCTATGTGAAACTGGCAGCATCAAAGGAAAGACCATGGGGCTTCAGTAAACACTTAAAATACCAGGGAAGACAATAGATTAAGTGCAAACACTAATTTAACTAAAAAAATTCTGTTAATAGAGATTATAAAATAAGGCAATCTGAACAGCCCTGTCCAGACACAGAAGAAGCAAGATGTGACTACACCACTGAAAAAGGTACTGAGCCATGTGGCTAACATAGATAAGAATAATGGGCTAATGTAAGTTATAAGAGTTAATAAGAAGCCTGAGCTAATGGGCCAATCAGTTTATGATTAATGTAAAAAAAATAAGGCAATCTGTATCTAAATTTTACCTTGAGATTGTAAAAATTCCTTTGTTCAGACCTAATGTTTGGTGTCCCTACTATAAAAGGATGGGTTCAGAAACCAGCCTTCACCACAGCCTAACAAACACCATCTCTGGCAGTTGTGTCGGCTAGCTGATAAGCTTCTGTGCCCTGTGGTATTTTTTTAATTTTTATTTTAAGTTTGCTTCTGGTTTTCCTGGAATCTGGTTTCTGGAATAAAGTTTGCTTCTGGTTTATTAGACTTTGGTGGTCTGTCCCCATCTTTGGGCACCCCCAACAGAACCAACAGAATTTAAAACAAAATTCATAATTTCAAACTATAATATTGGGTATGCTCTTGTTTGTTTACCATTACTGAAAATATGGTTCTGCTTAAGTTCCTTTCTGGAAATTATTGCTTAAATTCTATAAAAATGTAACACCTAAAACAGCAGGGTGTAGCTTATTAAATAATGTCACTATTAAGGTAAAAGTTCATAAAAATTATTTCTTGGTGTGGGAAAATTGTCTGTATTCTGTCAATCATGTTTTAAATAAATGCTGATTGGCCAGGCAGGAAGTAGAGGAGAATTCTGGGAAGGAGGAAGCTGAATCCTGCCCAGACCCCTGAGAAGCAAGATGTAACCTACCTGGCTGAGAAAGGTACCCAGCCGTGTGGCTAACGTAGATAAGAACAATGGGTTAATATAAGCTACAAGAGTTAACAAGAAGCCTGAGCTAATGGGCCAATCCGTTTATAACCTAATGTAGACTCTCTGTGTGATTTTTTTTCTGGGACTAAATGGCTGGGGGACCGGGTGGGACAGAAACTCCAATGAGCCTGGCCTTCATGTTACAGAATGGTGCCCACGTGATGACTGTATCCACAGAAAGCCTGAGAAAGCTTGGGAAAGAATAGAGTAAAGCATGTTTTCTTGGTAGCAGCAGTTTCCCGGGTCTGTTCTCCTTCCTAGAGGCAAGCAAGTGCTCTCATCTATGAGAGACTTCCTGACTCAGCCTTAAATGCAAAACCCTGCAGCTCTTTAAGAGGTCCTGCCACAAAACACTTAAATGGTGTTGATGAAAAGCTGACCACATGCTTCTTGGTTTTCAGCCGTAGCAGGAAAAAAGTTGCGTTGTTGCGTTGTGCCGGGCGGTGGTGGCGCACGCCTTTAATCCCAGCACTCGGGAGGCAGAGACAGGCGGATCTCTGTGAGTTCTAGGCCAGCCTGGTCTACAGGAGCTAGTGCCAGGACAGGCTCCAAAGCTACAGAGAAACCCTGCCTCGAAAAACTAAAAAAAAAAAAAAAAAAAAAGTTGCATTGTTTTAAAATGCCAGCATTCTGGGCCATCCTGCCAGGGCAAACTCTGGCCCTTTGAGGCAGGAGATCCTGCTACAGAGAGAGCATTTGACTGTGGAACAGTTCACACTGGCAAGGACCTTGAACCACCACAGAGTTGTGGCAATAAAAATGCCTCTGGCGGTACCTCTGCCATGAGGCTGCAAAGCTAAGGAATGGGCTGGATCCAGCCATCAAAGCCACAGCTTTAATCCTCTCCTTAAAGACTCAGTAGTCAGAAAAAGAGAGATTTACATTAAAAAGAAATTAAAAAAAAACTCTAAATGGTTTACACTGTGTAAAAACATATGCAGGCTTTAAAAAAAGGGTTAAGTCCTTAAAAATAAAAAAGAAAGAAAGAGAGTAGTTTGGGTGTGATGGTACACACCTTTAATCCCAACACTTGGGAGGCAGAGGTAGATTGACCTCTGTGACTTCAAGGGACAGAGGTAGATTGACCTCTGTGACTTCAAGTTGTGGTAGCACACACCTTTAATCCCAGCACTTGGGAGGCAGAGGAAAGTGGATATCTGTGAGTTCAAGGACAGCCTGGACTGCAGAGACCAATGGAACCAATCCAAGCAAAGATAAAAGAAAAAAAGAAGGTGGAGTCTGGGAGATGCCAGCAGCTGCCAGACAAGCAAGATGTGAGGTAACAAGCCATGAGCCTCATGGTAAAATTGTAAAATAAAATAATAGAACTGGGTTAATTCAAAATAAAAGCAACACTAAAGCTACACAAAGCAACCCTATCTTGAAAAATCAAAAACAAAAGAAAAGAAAGGAAGAAAGGGATGAAGGGAGGAAGGAAAGAAGGATGGAAGGAAGGAAAGAAGGAAGGAAGGAAGGAAGGAAGGAAGGAAGGAAGGAAGGAGCAAGAGCTACATAGTAAATCCGAGATATATATGATTTTCAAGACAGGGTTTCTCTGTAGCTTATGGTGCCTGTCTTGGAACTAGCACTTGTAGACCAGGCTGGCCTCTAACTCACAGAGATCTGCCTGCCTCTGCCTCCCGAGTACTGGGATTAAAGGTGTGTGCCGCCACCGCCTGGCCAAACTTT